CCTTGGCTAGATGGGCAGTATATAAATCAAATCAAATCAATCAATCAATAAGGTGAACTAGTGAATTTAAAAAGGAAATCAGCAATGCTAAGAAGTTTAGTACAAGACCAAGGTGAGGCCTGAATTTTAGTATGTACATGTAACCCTTTTTTTCATTGCACAATTTTTCTGCTCTAGCAGAAATTTTACGCAGGACTGATGAGGCTCTTAGCCATGTGACATCTTCCAGAAACTGCATAAAAAGCAGAGATGAGTTTATATCCCTAAACCATGTACTTACCTCAGTGGGGATATTCATATTCATATACGAATATCTCTGATGCAGCTGGACCTAACAAGGGTCCAGGCCCCGGGACCAGGCTGTCCACTCCTGTGTCTTGCCACAGCATCAGTCCTGATCATCCTGCCAATGGCACCCAAAGCTCTACTCTCTTCCCACTCGGCTGGCCACTCCAGGCAGGGGGCAGGAGGACAAGTCTCCCTGCATGGCTGCTGCATGGCCAGCCGAGTGGGAAGAAAGCAGAGTTCCGGACGCCATTGGCAGGACGAGCGGGACCAGCACCATGGCAAGACACACGAGTCAATGGACCAGTCCCGTTGGCCAGACCCTCATTAGGTCCAGCTGTGTCGGGGATATTCATATACGAATATCCCCATCTCTATATACAATATATTGCTTTTTCACTCGTGCATACATTTTACAGTGACGCCCATGGAAATGTATGTATCCAATTAAATCACAAGTACCACACAGAAAGCCCTCAGATAACATATACAAGATACCCATACTGAGGAAAAGCATGGTAAGTGAAATATACTGAGGAAAAATACACACCATATACCCCAATGAAACTGCTCCCACACATGCCACAAACTTCCCTTCCAGTGCTCTTGTTCTGAGAAAAAAATCCATACCAACTACTTGATCTTTTAAAAAGTAACAGCACCCCCACCAAGTAACAGTGGACAGCACCCCCGCCATGTTTATTTTCCAAGAATCCATTTGAGTTTTTCTTCACAGCATTACCAGAAAGACAGATAAAACCCTATTTTAAAAAAATCTGAAGTGGCAGCAGCCTATAAGGTGCCAGAGGAAGTTGTTAGGAGGTAACACTTGGAGATCCCATAGATAAAGCAACACAGGGCTATTTCAAAGGTGAATACATCAGTTTAAAGTGAGAAAAAACAATATAAAGGTAGCAATGAGTAAAAGAATATTGATGTCAAGCATGACTTTATATGCAAATTACCAAAGCAAAACAGGAAGCCCATGCCACTGTGTATTTTCTAAGTAGAAATCCTAAATACCACATTAGCCAGTAATTAAACATTGTCAGGATTACCTTGCCTCTTCTGTAATTTCCTTTCCTGCACATGAACAAGGACATGGGCAAGAGAGAGAACAGAATCCTCTCTTTACACCACCACACCAATCAGGAAGGCAGCCTTGGATCCTCACAGCTCATTAACCCAAGCTGCTCATTTATATTCCAACATCTTTTCCCCCATAAAGTTCCACAAACCCCAACAGAGTAATTTTATACTGGCAATACAAGTGATCAAAAGTTGCAGAGAAATTGCATGCTGTGTACATGAAGCCAAGAGGGGAGAAAACCCCTTGTCCCATGCATTCACACCAACAGCATGCCTCATTAGTTCATTTTTAAGGAAACAAACAAGCCCGTCCACCTAGTGCTCTGTGTGTGCGTGCCAATTTCTGTATGGGATCCTTTTTCATACTGCATTTTCCCCCAACAGCATTTTCCTCTAACAACAGTTTCTCTGTGGTTCATATTGTATAACTGGCTTTCTTATAACAAATTATATTTTAAAATTTGCTATCTTTCTAATTAGGCAAAGTGACTCCAGGACACTTTCCTCATTATTTCTTACATGTGTTAGATGTTTGCCCAAGCTCCACCAACTCTTCAAATTAATCAGACTTGTTATGGTTGATTTATTATGTTAATGGCAGGAATATATTACAGATTGTTGGGTTATTTCTTTTTAAGTGTTTTGTTCAGCAGGGGAGGGAGCCCACAAACAGCTGCCAGAAATCTCTCCAGTCAAAACTCATGATTACTGGGGATATTACTGTGTCAGCTATTCCACCCTCACATCAATCAGCCATATCTTTTGCATAGAAAGAAATCTTGCAAACAAAGGAATATGTACAAAATGAGGAGCCTTGCAAATGTTTAAGCTTTAGGAACGGGGCCAACTGCATTAGAACAGAGAGTGTAAATGTTCAAAGAGGGCTGCGTAATACTGCATCACCATATCGCAACTGAATGCATTCTCTCAGACAAAAACACATTTATGCCCCAGTGGGACCACAGTTGCTGATACAAATACCACTGGAAGAATCCTGGAATTTTTCAGAAACAGCCATTTATTGGGGACTTATTCTGTTTTTCCACTTGACAGTATGTGGAGCAGCTCATGGCAATCATCTTAGTTAACACATTAATGTGAAAAACACCCTAGTGCAATCATAAAACATATGTTAAGTCCAAATTCACCAGTTTAAAGAGACTGCTGGTTTATGTACTAGATTAATTAGGAAGAACAATGGAAAAACTAACCACAGTGACACTGGTATTGGTCATGGTGAAAATCAAGGACCCCCCAACCCTATAGAAGCCTGTGTGATGAAGCAGCTGCTCAATGCATTTGACTTCCTGTTGAAGCTCAGTGGCATTCATACCCTCTACGACAGGACTGACAGCATACTGTACCTCCAGTTATCAATTGGAACCCCTTCCTGTGAAAAACATATGAAGGGGGGTGGGCTTAAAGAACTCGGGGTTACAGGTGCTATTCCTCACTTGAGAATAACTGGGAAATAAGTAAAACGAACACGAGTGGTACAGTATCTCAATACACCAGTGGGACTGCAGCCTCCCAGTCCCTTCTGCTGGACTTCAGTTCCCATCAGAACCATTCAACAAGGTCAATAGTAAGGGACAATGGAATCTGTAAAGGTAAAGGTTCCCCTTGACATTTAGTCCAGTTGTGTCCGACTCTAGGGCGCAGTGCTCATCTCTGTTTCCAAGTCATTGAGCCAGCATTTGTCTGAAGACACTTTCTGTGAGCCAGCATTTGTCTGAAGATACTTTCTGTGGTCACGTGGCCAGCGTGATTAGACACGGAACACCATTACCTTCCCACTATGGTGGTACCTATTTATCTACTCGCATTTTTACATGCTTTCTAACTGCTAGGTTGGCAGGAGCTGGGACAAGCGATAGGCACTCACTCCGTCGCGTGGATTTGATCTTACGAATGCTAGTCTTCTGACCCTGCAGCACAGAGGCTTCTGCGGTTTAACCCATAGCACCACCACGTCCCTTAAATCTGTAGTCAATAACAAATTGAGATGACTGACCTGTGCAATAGGCATCCTTCTTAAGTTAATGCTGTGCCATCCACCCACACTCCTAAAACTTAGTTTAAGGCTGGATTCAGTCACAAAATATATTTCCAATGTAAAGCCACATTTAGCACTATGGGGACAATAGTTAAAATGCCACTTATGCTAAGGTACCAAATCCCGGGAGCTTTGGGCTATGTTGAATTAGGCTACTATGTGCCCCCTCTTCTGTGCCACGCACATTAGTGCCAACCTGACCTCTTCTTAATTGGACAGAAGGTAGCACATGGCAACAGCTCTTCCGATGTCACAAACTGGGTAAATGAGTGGCAGATGCACAAAACTGCTGCCATTGCTTCTCAAAGAGCACACCTACCATTTCACTTTGGGATACTCAGTAATGGTAACTGATCGGCCACCCTCCGCCAGGACAATGCACGGGAGCAAATGAGCATGAGCACAGGATCATGACCTGCACAACCTCTCCTTTTAAGTGGCAGCCAGCAAGATGGTCTTCCACAAGAGCAGTTGTTACTTCCATCTTGTTCATTTCTCTTGCTCTTTGAATGTGCATAAGGAGACCTGAACACTGTGGCACTTAGGATCACTTTTCTCCTCCTCTGCGTAGCTATGTCACCAAAGCACCCCCAAGGACACCATGGGTGTATGAATCTTTTGCTTGTTCTTAGAAAGATTGTTCCATTGCTTGTTCGAGCCCACTTTCTTCTTCCCTCTCTTTGAGAGATGGGGGGGAAAGAGAACAAAAGCTTATGAAGTGCAGCAGTAACTCCTTACTCATTCCCTCTGTGCGGCTTGGGTGGGCCCATTCCTCCATTCTGTCCCAGAGACCATGAACCAGGGGAGCAACTAGAAGCTGCAGCAGCTACACCTTCCTGCCATCACTTGCAGAATCTTTCCTGCCAGGATGCTATCAGAAAGAACACCTATCCTCATCAGTTTCGAATCGACAGGAAACTGACAGTTCAAGAAAAGAGGTTTAGCTTATTTTCAGCAATCGTTTTGTCTTGACACCCCACTACAGTCTGTTTGAGCCCTGGCTCATACACAATTGGATTCCCAGTGTGGTGTAGCAGAAAGAGCGAGGAACTAGGACTCTGGAGAACAGGGATCGAATCCCCACTCAGCCATGGAAACTCACTGGTAAAACCACTCCTTAAATATCTCACTTACCTTTATTGTGCTGCTTATTAGGGTCACTTTTACTCAGTTCCGACTTGACAGCACAGATTTTATTGTGCTGTCAAGTCAACACACACACATACCCGTTTAGCAACTCACTGCTAGAGGTAAGCGTTGCATGTTAAGCGTTGCGAAAGCATCAAGAAAGTCTGGAACTTCTTCCTTAATGTTGTTCTTATGTGCCCTCTAGTTGCTTTGGACCTAGGGTGACCCTGTAAAATAATAAGCTCCAGCGACGAGTTTGGAAACTGAGGCGTCCATCTCAAGTTATTTCTTCCTCTTTTCCTACTGCCTTCCCAATACCCTTCTTCTGTATGCATTTCCCCACTCCGGTTTCTCGTCTTCTGGGGATATCACTCCGCTCCTGGCATAACCACAAAGCCCGCCGCTCGCCTCCCAAACGGAGGCGGCAGCGACGAGTACTAACCGCGTCCGAGGCGGTGGCGGCGGCGACGCCTCCTGTCCCTCCGAAGCACGGCGGCTGAAGCGCCGTTCCCCTCACGAACTTGACGACCTGCCCCGGGGCAACGCGGGCCCGCAGCTTTTCGCCGTTCAGCGTGCAGCCGGGCCCTTCCACCATCCTGGCTCCGCTTAAGGGACCGCAAACGGAGCGCCAGCCTCAGTTCAAATTTCCCGCCGCCTGCCCTAAGAGGCTGCTCCTCCCCGGCGGGCTCGGCGCTTCCGCCTCCGCCCTGCCTGTTTTCTCTTAACTTTTTTCTTCCAAGCGGTGAGGGAGGGAAGTTGTGGGTTGATCCTACGGGAACCGGCCTGAATAGGAAGTCCCTAAATAAATGTTGCATGGTTTCTCTTCATTTCATACAAAGGGACTTGCTCCCGCAGGTTTAGGATAAGATGACATCGTCGTCTGAATACTCGTGTAAAAAAAGTATGAACGGGCAGGTCTTTTTTGACATGGTTATAGGATGCGTGGAGTTTTCCAGGATGAACCTTTCAGGGAATTGGGCTGTAGCCCTGAGAAACAGCCCCATGAACATTTGGGGCTTACTTTCAAATAAACAGGTATAGATGGCGGTTGTGCTGCGTAGGATACAGATGATAATGCAAACCTAAAGGCAAGTCTGGCTTGATCACCTTTAACAAACCAGTAATGAAAAGTCAAAACCATAAGTTAGCTCTGGACCGTGCATGGGTTTCACCAGGTTGGGCACCGCAGAGCTGGGAATTTTCTAGAAAAAAACTCGAAAGTTCCCCCAAATCATGGTCACATGTGTGGGTGAGATCCCTTCCTTTAAACACGTTTCAAAACTTGCATTAAACAAGCCTGGGTTGCCCATCTGGCCTTAATGTTTGGAACTTGCATTTCTTCTGCTTCCCTAGCTCTTTGGTGTCCAGCCAGATGAAGACCTGTGCAGGGTCAAAAGCAAGCTTATTTTTGTGATTTTTTTTTAGTGGTCTCAGAAGGGTGACTTCCACCAGATTGTGTGCAAGGACCGCTCTTAAATTTTCCCTTTCCTCCCCCCAGACCTAACTTTCTAGTTAAGAGGTTGTATTACATTTAATGTGTACCACATAATCCATATAACTGTTGTCAAGCCAATTCTGATTTATGGCGACCCTTCCCAGGGTTTTCTAGGTAGAGAATACTCATAAAAAATACCCCACATGGGCTGTCTTCTTCTGAGATGCACAGTGGAGAATTGAACTCCCTACCTCCAGGTCTGCAGCCAGATATCTAACAGCTATCCAGCCATAGCACTGGTGAAATAACATGGCATTTTTGCAAAGTGTATTAGTCATTCCTTGCCTTTTTACACAGATCCAGTTTATTCCTACATACTGTATACTGCAGGAGAAAACACATTTACATTGCAGTGATGTGCATGTACATTCATAAATAAGTAGCATTTACTTTAGTGATTTAATTCAGTGAGATGCCTTTTTTAGAAAATGTTTATAGTGGCTGGGCTACTGTGAGCCTCAAGCTCTCATCGTCATCCTTTATCATTAACTTGCTAGGTTGATAGGAGTTCTAGGCCAAAAACATTTAGAGGTCTACAGATGTCCATGTCTGATACTGTACTGTACATATGGAATTGCAATGCTAGCATCTAGCAAAACTGAAAAGCAGATTTAAGTACAAATGTATCCCAATACTGTAGATACTGATGGACTGAATGGCTAGCACCTAAACAGGCATGTGAGTTAAAGTAGTCTAGGGCAGAATCAAGAGAACAGATCCTCCCTCCTTTTTAAAATCGATGTATTCCTAGTTGGTAGCATGTTGGCTTTTGTGAACTCAAAAAAATCAAGACTGAGCATTTTATTTATTGATTCATTTACAAAATTTTTTAGCCGCACCATTACCAGTGGTCTCTGAGCGGCGTACAACAATATTAAAACTTACAAAACATTAAAAATATGCAATATTATAATAATATCCTATATTAAAATAATCCTTAAAACATTATTACTGTATTAATAAATCCTGCTGCTCATATGGCCAGCTAAAGAACACTATTTAATTAAAATACTGGCTAAACAGAAAGGTCTTTGCCTGGCGCCGAAAAGCCAAAAGTGTTGGAGCCAGGCAGATCTCTATAGGGAGGGCATTCCAAAGTAGGGGGGCAACAGCTGAGAAGGCCCTATATTGGCATGCCATCCCCCCCTACCTCTTTCAGGGATGGCACCTTCAGAGGGGCCTCCTGGCCTGATCTTAGAGGACAGGCAGGCTCGTATGGAAGAAGGCAGTCCTTTAGGTACCACCCCAATTTTAGTTGGGGTGATTCTTCCTAGAAACCAGTGACAATTGGCAGGGGCTACAAATCTCTTTTGTAGCCTCATGTTATTAGTGTGAGTAGTAAAGGCAATCTACAAACCAGATTTGGCTCATTAGATACCAGCTGCTTATTACCCTGTGAAGATACAATGCTACCTAATATATATATATATTATATATATTATATATATATACACATACATACATACATTCTATCTATCTATCTATCTATCTATCTATCTATCTATCTATCTATCTATCTATCTATCTATCTATCTATCTATCTATCTATCTATCTATCTATCTATCTAATATATATATATATTATATATATTATATATAAAGGTAGCATTGTATCTTCTCTACAGTTTTCTGTGGCTATTCCAGATTCCCTGGTCTTTTGTTGTTCTGTTATTTCACCCTGACCATGAAAATCTATGGTCTTATTTTGCTGTCACGTTACAGTCCCATGGGTCAAGAGGCAGGCTATCTAAATTGGTGCAATTTCTGTGTGGTGTAGAACAGTCATCAGACTTTTTATAGTTTTTGATCTCAGGAGCAGTGCTGAAGAAGGAAAGCTAAATTCCCCAGGGCAAGGCAAAGAGGAGCAGAGAGAATGCAAGAAGAGATGAGAAGGGGGAGAAAATGGTTTCAAACCTGTTGGGAAGCCTCATGTAGTGGAATGGGGTTGTCTGAAAGTTAATATACCATTTCAAGTTGTTAGGAGGATAGTTACCATGGTTGTTTCAAAGAAAGTTAAAATGATTTAGAATTGAAGATACCTTTTTGTTGGACCACTTGTGCTTGCAGTTCTGGCAAGCAAGTCTGTGAGCTTCACAGAAGAAAATGAATGTAATGCAGCAGCAAAAAAAAAAAAAAAGAGGGGGAAGGGTTGTTGGGTCAAGCCTCATCTCAACCATGAATTCACAAGGTGACCTTAAGCAAGGCACCATCTCTCATTTGCAGTTCACCAACTCTAATATACAGTGGTGCCTCGACTTACGAACGTCCCTACTTACGAAAATTTCAGCTTACGAAAATTTCGATTTATGAAATCCAACTTGCGGCCAGAGCTTCCAGTTACAAACAGAAAAAGGCGGGGGGGGGAAGGCGGGGAATTCAAATTGCTAACTGTTGGTAGGTGAAGAGGCTGCTTCTTTGTAGCTCTTTTCGCCCCAGTGGTTAGAGAGTGTGCAATAGGAGGAGGCTTCGGACTGCCTGGTAAGGTAAGATGCTGCTTTCTGCTTGTAAAAAACTGTTCCGGGTGGGTTTTGCAGCATGGTTTTGGGCTGGGTGGTGGGGTTATGTTTCTTTGCTGTGATGGGTCTTGCAGGGTTTGTTTTTTGGTGTTTTTTTCTTCCCATTTCTGATGGGTCTTGCGGGGTTTTTTTCCCCATTTCTGAAGGGTCTTGCATGGTTTGCTTTTTTCCCCTCCCCCTTCGGCCGGAACCGATTAATCGCATTTCTGATGGGTCTTGCAGTGATTTTTTTCTTCATCCAGAACGGATTAATTGCATTTCAGTGCATTCGTATGGGAAATGGTGCTCCGACTTACGACCATTTCGAGTTACAGCCAGAGTTCCGGAACCAATTAAGTTCGTAAGTCGAGACATCGCTGTACTGTATAGTGTTTCCTCTTTGCCTGGATCTCAGTGAAGATGTGCTTATTCGGGTTTCCATTCCCCAAAAGGTTCCTCTGTCAGCTCAGTAGTCATCAGACAAATAAGATCATTACAACTTACATTTTGTTAAAATATGTAAGAACACATAGAAATATATCCTTGCAATATCAAAGTAAAGCAACTTAAGATGCCATATTCCAAGATACACACGCAATATGGAGCAAAACACCCCGGTTCAGTGGGGACTCCAAAAAAGGGGAAGCTGCATTTTATTTCAGGTGTGTTTCAAAACCAGACTTTTAATGTTTAAAATCATCCACATTTTTAATGAATACAAAGGTTGCTGAAACAGTGATCTGACAAGTCACTGAAAAACTGATTTCCTTATCTCTCACTTTTCCAGCTTTTCTCCTTGACTGTACTACTGGCCTCTGACTGCCTAATGCCTTATTCATTCCTCATTTTGTGGGCAGATCACTAGCTGGTGAAGATAATTAGGGACTCATGCTATTCCATCAGAGACTTGGATCTAGAGGCTAATTAAAATGAAGTGCTGCACATATGCAAACAGCTGATAAAGGCTTGTAACAAGGCACCTGGAATCCTGGTGTTTTGATGGCAGCAGAAAGGTAAGGAGAAAATCATCTCTTAGCACCAGAAAAACAAAAAAGGCAGAAATAGCATCACTGTCATGGCTATTTCAAGACAGAAAGTGGATTTGATCACTACCGATCATTTCTCTTCCACTAGAAATTAAAAGAGAAATTTCAGTGGATATTCCATGAATACAATATTTTTCTACATGTACATCTGGTCATACCAGTGAGCATGCAGTGGCAAATAGGAAACTCTAATTCACCAGAATCTCACTTGACCCTAAGCACATGTTCATGATAATCTTCACAATGGATATCAGTTTATCAGCTCCTCCCCAAACTTAAATAAATCTTTCAGATATAGTAATGCCTCGAATTACGAACACCCCTACCTACGAACAATTTGACTTACGAACAGCTCTGCTCGCAACAGTTGGCTTTGACTTGTGAGCAGAGCTTCGACTTGTGAGCGGAGCTTCGACTTGTGAGCGGAGCTTCGACGTAAGAACAGGAAAAGGCAGGGGGAAAAGGTGGGAAATTTAAACCGTTGGTGGCGAAGAGGCTGCTTCTTTGTAGCTCTTTTGCCCCAACAGTTAGAGCAGGGGGGTCAGGGAAATTATTTACTCCTGCGGTGCAGGAGGAGGAAGGAGAGGCGGGGTGGCCCCGTATTGCCGTGGGGCGTGGGAAGCTGGTGTGCTCCCTGCCCATCCCTGTCACGGGTCTACTCGTGCTTAAGGGCCGC